GTGTGTTTTCATATATATTGTGGCGAACACGGGTACCAGAACAAATCAGAATTGACGATAAACTGCCACAAGCAACTAGACAGCGAATTCGTAGTTGCCAAGATGTTCTAGTAGCGAACTTTTGTTAAAAATTTACTATATAAGGGCTGCCGGATTGTGCAGCAGACACAGTTCTAATTAGAGTGTTGCCGTGTAAAGAGCAATTAAGCTAAAAGCAATAAGTTGTAAGTTCGAATAGCGAGCAATAAGTGTTAAGTTGTTGGAATTGGAAATAAAGATAAGTGTATAGCATTAAATTGGGACTTTAATTTAACAATCCAGTGATCGAGCTCAAGAGTGAGTTATAGTTAGACGATTTATCGAGACATCCGTTACAATTGGTGTCAGAAGTTGGATTGTCAAATAAATTCGCAAAGAGATAATTATTTGTAAATGGCCAAGTTTAACGATCTGAAGATTCCACAGCTGAAAAAGGAGCTGGAGCAACGGGGTTTGCCGACAAATGGATTAAAAACTGAATTACAATCAAGGTTGAGAGAGGCCATGGAGGCGGAAAACATTAATGTTGAGGAATATGTCTTTCACATGGAATTAGAAGAAGAGACAACAAAGATAGAAGAAAAGGGAGAGGCTCAATGCTCGTCAAAGATTGTGGACATAAACATGGTTTTTGACGCAATATCGCAAATGTCAACGCAAATATCAACACAAATTAAAGAGCAGAATACAATCGACACAATTTTAAGAGCAGAATGCACTTTTAACCCAACAAATAGCAGAGGTGTCATCCCAAATGTTGACACAACAATCCCAATTGTCCTTGTTAGAAACGCGGTTGGAAGAGCCGTTCACAGCGTTAGATGCACGTATATCATCGCAGGTGACCTCCCAAATAGCAGAAGTGTCCTCAAAAGATTTCAGAAGAGCGGGATAGAATTAAAACTGAAGTGGATGAATTGAGAGATCGTCTCCGAGTCTGCCAAGGTAAAACCTCCATCCTTTGATGGCACTGTTCCGTTCCAAGTTTTTAAGCTTCAATTCGAAAAGACGGCATCGTCAAATAATTGAAACGCTGAAGATAAAGTAGCTGCGTTGTTCGTTGCATTAAAAGGATCTGCAGCGGAAATATTACAGACCATTCCAAACTGCGAGGCGAGTAGTTATGAAAAGTTGATGGGTGCATTACAAATACGGTATGGTAGTGAGCACAGGAAGCAGATCATTCAAATCGAGTTGCGAAATCGCCGCCAGAAAGCCAATGAGACTCTGCAGGAGTTTGCTACAGAGATTGAGAGGTTAGCTCACTTAGCTTATGCACATAATTCCATGGAATACATCGAGGACGCGAAAATTCAGACTTTCATCAATGGAATACGAGATAACACTACACGATTCGCTGCATTAGCATGTCCAAAATTGACCTTTGCAGAAACCGTTTCGTATGCTCTGACACAGGCAACTGGAGAAGATACCCTAGTTATCGGAAAGGTAACGTGCGATACACAATTTTATAGTGGCAGATATCATTGACGAAGTCATAATTGGAGTAGACTTTCTAGCGAATCATGGAATCAAAATTGACATGAAAAACAGGATTATGTCCTATAGAAATATGGAAGTGCCACTTATGTTCAGTTACGATAATAAGTACAACGTTAAACGAGTGATAACAACAGAGATTCCAGCAGATTCCACCAACATCAGAAGCAGTTATTTGGGCAGAAATATATAGAGACTATGGGCCAAACAAGTGGTGGATTGTTGGGGCCACAAAAGAATCTATACCAAACTTACTTATAGGCAAAACCCTGGCTATGACAAGACAAGATAAACGTGTTCCAGTAGGAGTACTTAATAAGTGCAAGTTACCAATCGAACTCTCCAGAGGAGCTATATTAGAGCAGTGTCAAGAGATTGAGGCCGTGATAAATTACGAAATACGTCTTGAGAATGATTCCATGGACAAAAAACGATATTTAGAGTGAAATTATCACATGGACTGAGGAACTAGAGGCAAACCATCAAACTATGGCTAAACAACTTCTTCTCAGATACTCATCCATATTTGATAAAGACGATGCGAAACCAGGAAGAACCAAAGTTTCGAAACATTTTATTAACACAGGTGATGCAAGACCAATCCGACAGGCTCCTCGAAGCGTTCCTTTAGCAAAACGTGAAATTGTAAGCCACACCATACGTGAAATGAGCGAAAGCGGCGTAATCGAACCATCAGAGAGTCCGTGGAGCTCACCTGTAGTACTTGTAAAGAAGAAAGATGGCACCATGAGATTTTGTGTGGACTATAGAAGGTTAAATGATGTAACGAAGGAAGACAGTTATCCACTACCTAGAATCGATGATACACTGGACTCGTTAACAGGCACAAAATGGTTCTCAACACTTGATTTGAAAAGTGGTTATTGGCAAGTGGAGGTAAACGAGGAAGACAAAGAAAAGACGGCTTTCAGCGTTGGAGATGGTCTATGGCAATTTACTGTAATGCCCTTTGGATTATGTAACGCTCCTGCTACTTTTGAGAGACTTATGGACCAGGTACTCAAAGGATTACACTGAAAGACCTGTTTGGTATACCTCGACGATATCGTCGTGCTGGGTAAAAGCTTCGGTGAACACCTTAAGAACTTGGAAGAGGTTTTCCAACGGATAGCTAGCGCTGGTCTGAAGCTGAGTCCAAAGAAGTGTTCCCTTTTCAAAAAGGAAGTAAGCTACTTAGGACACAAAGTGACAACGGAGGCCATTTGCACAGCGAATGAAAAGATGGAAGCAGTAAGAGATTGGCCCACTCCTAAAAATGTACATGAATTGCGGAGTTTCCTTGGACTATGTACTTATTATTGACGATTCGTTCCAAATTTTGACAGCGTAGCTAGTAGCCTCCATGAACTCACGAAAAAGAACAGAGTTTTTGAATGGAATAAAGAACAGGAAGTGGCTTTCCAAACTCTGAAGAAACGGTTAAGTACTGCGCCAATGTTAGCATACCCGGTCCTAGGATCAGCGTTTATTTTGGATACGGATGCTAGTGGATTTGCAGTGGGAGGCGTTCTATCACAAGTCATTGATGAGAAAATGGTTGCATATTACAGCCAGACCAGACCAAGCCAGAGAGAAAATATTGTGTTACTCGGAGGGAATTACTGGCGTTGGTGAAGTGCATCAAACATTTTCATAAGTACCTTTATGGCCAGCGATTTCTGGTGAGGACAGATCATGCAGCATTAAAATGGCTTCTGCAATTTAGGAACCCAGTTGGCACGGAGGATTGAGAGACTCAAAAGTTACGACTTCTCTATAGAACATTGCAAAGGTAGTAGTCATGGCAATGCTGATGCCATGTCCCGCCGTCCCTGTAACCTGGAATGCAGACATTGGTCAAAAGCTGAGGCCAAAGAAGACATTATAGATGTCCGATTAATGACTATAACATCAGACTGCAATTCGGAGGAGCTACGGAAATGTCAGCAAGAGGATCCAGATTTGAAAAGTGTAATACACGGATTGGAGATGAATAAACGTCCAACGAGAGAAGAAATAGCTGCAGAAAGCCCAGTCGCAAAGGCTTATTGGGCACAATGGAATAGTTTGAAGTTAGTGTCTGGCTGCTAGCATCGCGTATGGGAAAGCGAAAATGGGCAAAGTTCACAAGCTCTGATGATTGTTCCAAAAGTAAGAATTCCTGAAGTTCTCAACGAGCTGCATAACGGTCCAAGTGGAGCACACATGGGTATCACTAAAACCTTGGAGAAATTAAAACAAAGATTTTATTGGGTTGGTTGTCGTAGTGGATCGCCAATTGTGTCGAGTGCATTGCTGCTAAAGGGCCGCGGTCCAGGAGTCTTGGTCAGATGAAGCAGTACAATTCAGGTGCGCCGTTTGAGCGAATAGCCATGGATGTAGCTAGTCCATTTCCTATCAGTAAATTAGGAAACAGATATGTTTTGGTAGTCATGGATTACTTCAGCAAATGGCCAGAGGTATACGCAATTCCTAACCAAGAGGCTGGAACAGTAGCGGATGTATTCATTAACAATTGGGTATCGAGATATGGTGTTCCAATAGTATTACATTCTGACCAAGGGAGAAATTTTGAATCATCTCTAATACAGGAGATATGCCAGAAGCTGGGTATCCGGAAATCCCGTATAACTGCACTACATCCGCAGTCCGATGGTATGGTAGAACGATTTAATCGAACTTTGGAAGAACATTTGAAAAAAGTTGTGGACAAGTATCAAAAAGAATGGGATACCCATATATCCTTGTTCCTGATGGCTTATCGGTCTGCTGTACATGAGACTCCAGCAAGGGTAATTTTTGGTAATGATCTTCGACTACCGATTGATTTAAAATTTGGAATTAACGCCAACGGAGGAAGGTACACTTAGGAATTCAATAGCATCCTAGAAGACGAGATGAGGGATATACATGCTATGGTGAGACAGCGCACCAAAATTATGAGCGATAAGATGAAAGCAAAATACGACAAGGCAATAAACTCTGAGGGTTTTATTGAAGGCGATTGGGTATTGTTATATAACCCACAACGAAAGAAAGGGTTATCTCCCAAATTACAGTGTAATTGGGAAGGACCATATCAGGTTATTAAATGACTCAATGATGTAGTGTATCGCATACAGACCATTGGAAGACCAAGGAATAAAATGAAGGTGGTTCATCTGGAACGGCTTGCAGCATTTGGTACCGCAAATATGTCTAATCGGGACGAGTTTTCTACGCGAAGCCCCGCAAAATGATAGGCAACTCTCATCTTTTTACGCTTTGCCATGCAACAGTCACCATTTTTATTAGAGAGAAATACTGAAAGCAAAGCGTTAATTGTATCATACCCTCTATTTTCTGCGCTTTGTTGTTTTAGTATGACCTGTTACACAAAGCGAGGAAAGTTGTATGTGAATGGGTCTTAAGGGTGGAGTAAAAGTTTTTTAAACTTCTTAACGATATTTTTTCATGAATACCTTCAATATTGTATTCTTAGAGAACAGCGTGCGTTAGTTCATCTTTAGGGTTTTTAATGACCCCTTCCGGTTTAAAAAGTGATTTCATAGTCTTTACCTGAAAAGAAAGATAATTATTAAAAAGTTAAAATCTGACAATAAATTTCATAACATTCGCAATTGTCGTTATTTATTTCCGCATTTAATCGTTCTATTTGATCCAAACTTGACAATGGAATTCTTGCAGTTAGTGATGTTTCCTCTTCAATGTGGCGATTCCACTTATTTATAACCAACTTCATATCGACAATCGCTTCCATGCAAATTTGGAGTTGATCTAAAACAAGTAAACAAATGTAAACAAGTATATAGTATAGGCAGGTTTTCTGAGCGAAAGTGGATATTAAAATTAATACAAAAACGAATTAATTTGGTTTTGGTTTTCTAAAAAACAAGAAATTTGTTAATTTTCGTTGTCGTTTTTCTTGTCGTATAAATGAATGCAAGCTTCAAAATTATTCAAAAAATAAAATACGTCAAAATAATAATAAAAAAATGGGTGCGTTGAGTATATTTGCAACGATTGCTATGGAAGACGAGTTAAATGCAGAAAAAACTTTTGTTTGCTATAAATGTGAATTAATCAAATGGTTTCTCTAACTTCAGAAATGTTGTGGGCAACTCTTTTTTTAATGAAAGCCAATCCGTCCAAACCTGATGAAACATTTCTTTAGTATACCAAATTACTGGCTTTTACATTTTTCTAGCCAAAAATATATTTTTCTCTTAGACCATCTAGCGGGCGAGTTTTTCGAATACTTTTTTTGGAATTGATCTTTTGACAGCTGTTACTTGGTTTGCCATTTTATAATGAACAGACTTACTTTGGAACAACGTTTGCAAATTGTGCACATTTATTACCAAATTAATTGTTCGGTACGCGCGGCATAATCGCCTAGAAGAGTTGGTAATTTGAGAAACCATGAATCCACCACGTTTACTTAAGTGGATAAGACGCATCCTCAAAAACGCTGTACGTACGAAGAAGACATGAAAGAGTCCATCCGCCATCGCGCGCAATAATTGGAACTGTTCCTATCCACTTTATTGAAGATTTTGCGGAAAAAAGTGGTAGAAAACTGGGCCTCTCGGCTGGAATTTATTTGAGCCAATCGCGGTGATCACTTGCCCGAAACTGTAGTACTTTTTAGTTTATTTTATTATTTTTGTACAAGCAACTAACGGGAGCACTGATAAAATTCACGCTACATTCTCTTCCTTTCCGTAAACTTTCGTTACCCGTTTACTGTCCTTTTGCGTCTTATTATACTCTTGGCTTCTTCTGGTAATTTCCTCTGCTTTGAGCCTAAAGTTATCCAAATTACGCTCCTCCCCATTTAAACAAATCTCTTCCAATTTTTCTCTTAAAAATTCACCCCCTCTTTGAGGTACTCCGAATAATAGCTAGTGAGGAGTTGTGCCTATGCCTTATGAAGTTTATTATTTAAGGAGAATTCGATAAGGTAACCTGTTTATACCAAATGTACACATCCCTGCATTGTTCTCCAAACTCGTATAAATACGAATTAGAGGACAATCCAAAAGGCTCAACAGCACCAACATAGCTCATAATACCAATTACATTGTATAAATTTACAAGTAGCCAATCCTAAAATTTTCACTATTCCACACGCAAAAATATCCCACTTGGTACGGGTTGCCTCGAAAATTCTACCACTAAAATCACACTTGGTACGGGTTGCCAACCAATATTCTGCTACTAAAAGCACACTTTGTACGGGTTGCCAACCAATGTTCTACTACTAAAATGTTCAAATGACAGAAATCTGCTCTAGTGTGTTGCCGTGTTATGTTTTAAAATTAATAACTTTAAGAATGTTTTTATTCTATATTCAAATATTTTTCGGTTGTTTTAATTCCTAAAGATTAAATTTACATAGTATTATTTAAATTATTATTTATTGTATTGAAATATTATTAAATGTTTCCAATTTTATCTTTTTTAACTTACATGTTTATGTTTTTGTGAGTAAAAATTCTTTGTCTGTTGAATATTTAAATTCTTAGTTTACCGGTTTAGTCCTGGGGAAACAAACACCCAAAAAAGGTCTGTAACGCGCCTATATTGCAACCTCAGAGGTGGTGAGGAAAAGCAATGGGAAAACTTTAGTTTAGCATCCCACGATTTTAGGATTAAGAGGGTATGGTTGGATAAAGGAGATTCTCCAGATCACGAATATATATAACTATTGGCGCCGGAAACGTATAGTTTTTAAGTGCAAATTGTTACACTACAACCTTTTATTTAAAACTCTGTGTCAAAAAAAGGCATATTCGATCAGGTGATCACGGCTGTTTCACACACATAGGAAAACAACTGATTTTTTGGCTACTTGTAGTCTTATACAATGACCAATTAGAACAAATCAGCAGGCAGGAGCAAATATCAACGCGGACGGACACAAAAAGGCGCGAAAATCAAATCGCCCCAGCAGTACAACAACAGCAGCACCACTAAAATCTACGCGGCATTATCAACCCACATCAATTTATAATTGAATTTATAGTTAATTTATCTTATTTAAGTCTAACTTATAAATAACCCATAAATTGAATTATACATATAACACTTAACAAACACACACATAAATATTGTACAATTAACCCACACAAATTGTCTATATTTCTACCCTATATACTCTAAGTAATTAAAGTTACATTTTGTTGAATTTTAATTAATATTTTATTTTATTTGGCACACCGGCAAACTCAACGTGGAGTACCCCAACATTTTGGTCCTTCGAGTCGGATTCGTTCCCGATAAAATAAAACCCACCCAATTAAACACCGTTTATATATTATACATTCACCCACCCAATCAACTACCGTTTGGATCATCAGAAGTTATGTATTCACACACCCAATCAACCACAAACTTGGATTTACAAAAGCAACAAAGATTTCATACGTGGAAAAAATTGTGACCATAAACCCAAATTTTTAAAAAATATAAAATCAGTGCAATACGGAATAAAAGTGCAAAGTGAAAACAAATATATATAATAAAATAAATCTTGTGCTTAACAAGTATTAAGTGCAAAGTTTTGCGAATTTGTTATTGCCATATTCCGTTTACCACATTGCTCATAATATATACCTATGTACGTACTTACAATATATTATCTTCTATACCTATAAAATTCTTTGTCTGTCTGTCTGTTCCGGGTAATCTCCGAAACGGCTGAACCCATTTTAATGAAATTTTGCAGACATGTAAAGGAAGTTTTTGGGAGTAACATAGGTTATATTTTATGTAAATAAACGCAGTTTGCTTTTTTAGTTGAGTTACAGCGATTACAAGTAACATAGGTTATATTTTATGTAAATAAACGCAGTTTGCTTTTTTAGTTGAGTTACAGCGATTACAAGATGATCGTATACGACATGCAAATACACGAAATCAAGAGTCAGATGAATTAAAAGAACATCGACTACAAGATGATCGTATACGACATGCAAATACACGAAATCAAGAGTCAGATGAATCAAGAGAACATCGACTACAAGACGATCGTATACGACATGCAAATACACGAAATCAAGAGTCAGATGAATCAAGAGCACATTTGATAACGGGATTTATTCAACGGATTTAAGTTTTTTTTTAACGCAGTTTGCTTTTTTAGTTGAGTTACAGCGATTACAAGACGATCGTATACGACATGCAAATACACGAAATCAAGAGTCAGATGAATCAAGAGAACATTTGATAACGGGATCTATTCAACGGACTTACAACGCAGTTTGCTTTTTTAGTTGAGTTACCAAACGATGAGACATGAACTAAAACATATAATTATTGTTTAATAACGAAATATATTAATATGGACAAATAGTATTTTCCTCAGGTTAAGTTCAAATGTAAGTAACGCTTTTGAAGTCACCGAAAACATTTTCCGTAAAAAAAAACCAAATTCATTCAATAGAGTCGATATTCAATTCTTTCTAAGAAATTATATTGTTATAATCTATACCTATAAAATTCTTTGTCTGTCTGTTCACAGAAAACTATCCGCCTAAGAGGCTTCCTATAGATACTTATTCAAATTTGAATCAATAAAATTAAAAAATAAATGCCTAGAAAAAAGTCAAATCTTTCGAAGAACACTAATAAAGCAAGAAAAATACAATGCATTCGAGCTACTGAGTCTGAAGCGGTCAGATGTCAACGATTAGAAGAAGATCGCAAACGACATGCAATAACTCGAATGAAAGAATCACATGAATTTAAAAAACAGCGATTACAAGATGATCGTATACGACATGCAAATAAACGAAATCAAGAGTCAGATGAATCAAGAGAACATCGACTACAAGATGATCGTATACGACATGCAAATACACGAAATCAAGAGTCAGATGAATCAAGAGAACATCGACTACAAGACGATCGTATACGACATGCAAATACACGAAATCAAGAGTCAGATCAATCTAGATCACGACGCCTTAGAAATGATCAAACAAGAAAAACTACTGGACGTAATAGTCTATGGCAAGGTAAATATAATAGCGGATTTGAATATGATCCCAATATAACTTATTCCACTGAAGCAGAAATTGGTTCAATGACTGACGTGTGCAAGTATTGTAAAGCTTTGAAATGGAAAGAAGAATCAACTGGTATTTGTTGTTCTGGAGAAAAAGTACGTCTTGATCCAATTGAGCAGCCACCTGAACCACTTCAATCATTATTGTGCGGTGATCACATATATTCGCAGCATTTTCTTAACAATATTCGACGTTATAATTCTGCCTTCCAAATGACATCATTTGGTGCAAAAGAAGCAAATGAAGGGAATTTTATGCCAACGTTTAAAGTGCAAGGACAAGTGTATCACTTAATCGGTTCCCTTCTCCCAAAGAATAATCAGCGAGAATCATTCTTACTAATATATTTTCTGAGTGATTATAAGCAGCAAAGGGATACGAGATTACATCATTTTCCAGTTCTGAATGCTTCGTTGCTAGAGTGCTTACAGTCAATGCTTGATGAAACGAATCCTTACGTCCGTGATTTCAAAACGGCGCTTCAGTTATTCCCAACTGGCTCAAATGAATGTAATTGCAAAATTGTTATAAATACGGATCATCGTCCATCAACAGAGCATAGAGGTCGCCATAATGAACCAGCAACAAACGAAGTGTCTATACTCTTGGTAGATCAACAATGTGATAAACGAGATATTATACTTCATAGAAAAAATGACAGTTTGCAAAGAATTGCAGAAACACATAGATCATATGATGCATTACAATATCCGCTCATGTTTGTTCGTGGTGAGGACGGATACCATATCACAATTAATCAATTTAATCCCAGGTAGAACAGTTTTCAATAAAAAAGTTTCCGCACTACAATATTATTGCTACCGATTAATGATTCGAAAAAACGAATACAATCATTTACATCAGTACAAACAATTATTTAATCAATACATAGTAGATGTATATGCAAAAATTGAAACAGAAAGACTATTGTATTTTCGATGTAATCAGAAAAAACTCAGAGTCGAAAATTATATTTACCTACGAGATGCTTTGAATCAAAATGAAGATGCGGATAACTAAGGACGGTTGGTTATTTTGCCCTCATCTTTCACGGGAGGACCTCGGTACATGCATGAACGTACACAAGATGCATTCTGTTATGTTAGAAAGTATGGACGGCCTGATCTATTTATAACTTTTACAACAAATCCTAAATGGGATGAAATCACCCGTGAATTATTCACGGGACAATTAGCTTCCGATCGTCATGACATAGTGTCGAGAGTTTTTAAACAAAAATTGAAACGAATGATGGATCTTTTAGTTAAAGGAAAAAATTTTGGTTCTGTCCGCTGTTATATGTACAGTGTTGAATGGCAAAAACGTGGATTACCACATGCTCATATTTTAATATGGTTAGAAATAAAAATTACAGCAGAACAAATTGATGATGTTATTTCTGCAGAATTGCCAGATAAAGAAGATGATCCCGAATTATTTGAAATTGTAAAAACGCATATGGTGCATGGTCCATGTGGCGCTCATAATCCACAGTGTCCATGTATGAAAAATGGTATCTGTAGTAAGAAGTTTCCAAAGACGTTTACAACAGAAACTGTCACAGGTGAAGATGGATACCCATTTTATAGACGTCGATCACCTAAAAATGGCGGTAGACAAGCATCAATTCAGTCACGGACGAAGACCTTAAAAAAGGAACATGGATTGTTCCTTTTTCACCAGTATTATTACGAGCATTTAAGGCACATATCAATGTCGAACTTTGCAATAGTGTCAAGTCTATAAAGTATATATGCAACTACGTCAATAAAGGTTCAGACTTAGCTATATTCAGTGTACAAAATGATAAAGATGAAATAACTTCATATCAAAATGGAAGATACATTAGTACTTCTGAAGCAGTATGGCGTATGCTATCGTTTTCTATTCATGAACGCTTTCCACCAGTTACACACTTAGATGTACATTTGGAAAATGGTCAAAGAGTTTACTTTGATCCAAGTAATATCCAAGAAGCAATGGACAATCCAAAAAATACAACATTGATGGCATTTTTCAAGTTATGTCAGAGCGACGAACTCGCAACTACCTTACTTTATGAAGAGGTACCAGCTTACTATACATTTAACAAGAACAATGGAACGTTTCAACGGCGACGCCGTGGTACTCCTGTCAATAATTATCCTGGTATTTTTCATGAGCATACTCTTGGAAGAGTTTATACAGTACACCCAAACAATCAAGAATGCTATTATCTACGAATGTTATTGTATATTGTCAGAGGTCCAACTTCATTTGAAAAATTAAGAACAGTAAACGGTATCGTATATCCAACATATCAAGCAGCATGTTTAGCTCTTGGTTTATTAGAAAATGATAATCACTGGCACGATACATTAGCAGATGCCACGATAAGCAGCAGTGCGTCTAAGCTGCGCGAATTATTCGCTATCATATTGGTTTTTTGCAATACTTCTTATCCACTTAGAATTATGGAATAAGTTCAAAAGTCACTTTATAGATGATTTTAGAAGAAATCTTGAACGTCAATACCCAGATGCTGATATAAATTCTTATATTGATGATATAACTAATCGTGCACTTCTTGCATTACAAAACGTAGTACTGTCAATAGGTGGAAACACCATTGATCATTATGGTTTACCATCTCCATATTTAGTTGACGAATCTATTAATACATTAAATAGAGAATATATTGAGCAAACTAATTTCAATCCAATTGAACTTCAACATACGATAAATAATAATGAACCAAAATTAAATAATGAACAAAATCAAATCTATCAACTTATTATCGAAAAAGTAAATACAAATGATGGAGGTGTATATTTTTTAGATGCTCCAGGTGGTACTGGTAAAACATTTTTGATTAACCTTATATTAGCAAAAATACGCTCAGAGAAGAAAATTGCTATAGCGGTAGCATCATCAGGAATAGCTGCAACTCTTCTTCCCGGAAGGAAAACAGCCCATTCTATGTTCAAGATTGCTATAGAAGTTATCCATATGGAAAATCCAGTCTGTAGTATATCAAAAAATAGTTATAAAGCCAAAGTTTTACAAGATTGTGTTTTTGTTGTGTGGGATGAATGCACTATGGCCAACAAAGTATCTATTGAAGCAGTGAATAGAACAATGAAAGACTTAAGAAATAATAATCAATTATTTGGTGGAGTAGTATTTTTATTTGCAGGAGATTTTAGACAAACATTACCTGTTATAGCTAAAGGCACACGAGCAGATGAGGTTAATGCATGTTTGAAACGTTCAGTACTATGGAATAATATCGAGAAGCTTCATCTAAAAGAAAATATGAGAGCACAATCCAGTGGCGCAGAATTTTGTAAAATTCTCTTAGATATTGGCGAAGGAAAATATCCAGAAATAAATTCTAACCACGACATTGAAATCCCATCTGCTCTCTGTCATGTCGTTGCCGATACTCAAACTTTAATATCAGATATTTATGACGATATTCACAATCTAATCTCCAAAGAAGATTCGTGGTTGTGCGAGAGATCTATATTAGCACCAAGAAATGATCGAGTATCGTTACTTAATACGCTTATAATGGAAAAGATTCCTGGCAATTCAACAACATATTTATCTATAAACACAATATGTCAATCAGAACAAGCCGTGCATTACCCGGTAGAATTTTTAAATAGCATAAACGCACCTGGTCTTCCACAACATCAAATAGATTTGAAAATTGGTATTCCTATTATGCTACTGCGAAATTTAAATCCACCAAAACTCTGCAATGGAACGAGATTACGAGTAATTTCTCTACAAAAAAATATCATCGAAACAGTAGTTATGACTGGTTATGGTAAAGGCGAAACAGTATTTATACCTAGAATACCTATCATTCCATCAAATTATCCATTTCAATTCAAAAGATTACAATTTCCAATTAATGTTAGCTTTGCAATGACAATTAATAAATCGCAAGGTCAAACTTTAAAGAAAACTGGTATTGATTTGAGTCAAGAATGCTTTAGTCATGGACAATTATATGTTGTAGTAATTAAAAAATAAACTTGAATACCTATATTTGAAATATTCTTAAAGTAACTGAAAATCACAGTCGAATACATTTATTTATAAATAGGTAAACTATTTTTATAGTTGGATTGTAATTTTGAGCTTATACATTATAAAAAATTATAACTAAAAAACTAAATGTGTGAAAAATCGTGTATACAAATAGAACAATGACAACATTGGTGAAATGAAAACAAAAGAGAACAACTAATTTCTGCGTTGTAACTACGGGCGTAAATTTTGACAAATTTGGTTTGATACGGGCAGTAAGTACGGAAGGGGGAATGTCGATGACTGTTTGAGCTATAAGTCTGATCGTCCCGATTAGACATATTATCGGTACCAAACACAAAGTTTTTGTGGCTCCCATATCGTCTTCAAGGCTGGCGTTAACTTCCTTAACTGTACTTCCCTTCTTGGAGTTAATTCCAACCGTTTTCCGGATACCCAGTTTCTGATACATTCCTTGACTTAAAGCTGATTCGAGATTTCATTCTTGAGCAGAACTTAACTCCATTGGAACACCGAATCTCGTTTCCCACTTGTTGATGAATGCGTCCGCTACTGGTTCAGCCTCTTGATTAGGAATTGTATATACTTGTGGCCATTCGCTGAAATGGTCCTTGACTACCAAAACATGACTATTTCTTAATTTATTACTGGAAAATGGACCATCTTTATCCACGCTAATTTGCTCAACTGGCGCACCCGAATTGTGCTGTTTCATCTGGCTATGACTCCTGCACCTTTATCCTTTAGCTACAATGCACTCAGCATATTTCGCAATCTTCCAGTCCAATAAAACCTTTGCTTCAATTTCTCCAAGGTTTTTGTGATTCTCAAGTGCCCTCCTCGTGGATCTGCACTTTTAAAACTTCAGGAATTCTAACATTTGGAACAACTATAAGTACTCGGGTGATGTGCCCACTTTCGCTCTTCCACACCCATTGCTTTCATTTGTTTGGATATGGCAACACTTATTATCTGTCAATATGGAACCCATTTGTTATTGTGCATATAACAAAAATTGTGTAAAAAATAAAATGCTTATTTAAGGCATATATTAAAATAATTAATATAAAATAAATATGTAGAAACATTGTAATGAAGTGTAAATGTACAATAAGAGCATAATATAAAAGAAAAATTAACTATAAATAGAGATATTGTAAGATAAAATTTGTGAAATTTTCAACTTAAAATGCAAATATCTCGAGAACTATAGGTTTCCGTGGCTATATATTTTATCTGGAGAATCTCTTCTATCCAACCATAGCCCTTTTAATCCTTAAATCGAGGGATAGTATACTAAAGCCGACCCAAAGAATTAATTGTAATGTAACCAAATTTTTTTTTTAATGCAATGTCTTAAAAATATTAAAAAAACGTTTTTTTTTTGTATATTTATTTTTGAAAAAATATAGATATGTTGAAAAATTTCACTTTCTGCTCACGGATTTGTAATGTTCGCGTCAAAATAACACGATTTAAAAAAAATAAAAAAATTTTTGAGGCCTCCTTAGTTGGGGGACCTAAACTATACATTTGCCCATAACTTTTATTACAGTTACATAAAAGGGTTACAGTTACCATTTTCATTTTCAAATTATATATAAATACTGACAATTATATCATACGAACTCTACTTATGTGAATATTGTATTAATTAAGGCTGTAAAATACTTTAATGCAACCCTGACGGTGAGAACGTCAAAACAGTAGAAATGAAAATATTTCAGTAGGCCATTTTGTTATAAGAGTGGACGTTGAAATTACAAGTTTGAGTGAAGTAGATTTAGTGGATTTTCTAAAAGTATAATTATACTTTTTTAAGAGTTTGTTTGCAATAATATAAAATGGGCCGGAAGAAGAAGAAGGCTTCAAAACCATGGTGCTGGTATCCTTTTCAAAGAAAATATAAATTTGTCCTTTGTGACAAATGTATCTACACTGTTTTATGTAATTGCGTCAACAGCTTTGTTAACGAGGGGTGCTCCTTTGTACGCCACGTTTTTTTTTCGAAATTTGGTGTTAAATATATATTTTTAAGTTGCGGGTACTTAACATTTTTTGTAAACAAACAGGTATTGTAATCGGGAGTTTGATGATGAGAAGATTTTGGTTCAACATCAAAAGGCTAAACACTTTAAGTGTCACATATGTCATAAGAAATTATATACAGGGCCAGGATTATCAATTCATTGCATGCAGGTTCATAAAGAAACCGTAGACAAGGTGCCGAACTCTTTGCCGAACCGCTCTAATATTGAGATAGAGATTTTTGGTATGGATGGAATTCCAACAGAGGATGTTCGAGAGCATGAACGACAGAAAAATGGCGGTAAATCAGATTCTGATGATGACGAACCAGCTGTAAAGAAAAAAGTTGAAAGTATGAGAAAGTTTGATAGGAATATTGTACATTGTATTTAACCTAAAATGTCTAAATTTTGTTATTACTAAAAGTACCTTTAACGGCTCCTCCTCCCATGATGATTCCACCAAGTATGATGCAACCGATGATTGGTCAGTTCGCGCCAATGGGACTGATGTCCAATATGCCGCCAATGGCACCAATGCCTCCATTTTTAGGTCCGGGTGGTATACCAATGATGCCACCGCACATGATGCCACCACGACCTCTATTCCCTGCAGCTATGGCAGCCACAACTTCTGCGGCAGCAATACATGCTCCCGTAGTTCCACAAAAGCCCACGTTTCCTGCGTACAGGTAATATTTAAACGTCAAATTATAAAAGCTTTTAGGTGTTACTTGTACGTTACGTTTCACAGTAATGCCACTATTAGTGCACCACCAACAACCAACAATCAAAGTGCCACAGGAAGTAGTGCTGTACTACCTGAGGCGCCGAAGGCACCAGCTGTACTTCCTGCTGGAAATTCTGGTAGCTATACATCGAAAATCATGCATCCACCCGAGGATCTAAGCTTGGAAGAGTTACGTGCGCGCAAGCCAAAATATCAGAAATTATACAACTGTGTTGGGAGCAATAATCATAGCCAACGCATAACATCAATTGGTACACAAAATATCAATCATAATACAGTTGTCAGTAGCGGATCATCTACAACAATTCCAACAAATTCGAGTACGTCGAGTGCAGCGGCTGCCCAGGCTACAGCTATATCAAAGGCCCAGGAAGTGAGTTCTTACCATAGATATAGAAATCATAGTCAATATAACTACTGAGCAGGCGAGTGTGGGAGGGAAAGTATAGATTATCACATACACACACATTCGGCACACTAGAAACGTGCTTATTGGTCATATAATAAGAAAGTCAAAGCAAATGCATAAAACATTAGTACGAAAAAAACATAAACATCATACTATAACAGATGAAGCGAACTAGCATACAAATCGCAAAATCAAATAAAACAAATGGGGATAAGCACAAATTATTCTCTTACAAAACTAAACTCATTCACTAAATATATATGTATAAATACGGACCGATTATGTAATGTTTACTTAAGTGGGATAGTTCTGCATTTAAAAATTTAGTTTCTATTTCCAATAACTCAAAATGATTTACACAAATAATTCATAATACAGACATATATTATTTATAGAATAATGAAAACACTAACAAGTACACGCAGGAATTAAAAAGTTACGTACAACAATTTTCAGATTAAATTTATTTATCGATATATAATAATGGTTGGAAGGCATCGTTTGTTAAACCGTTAAATAGTAATATTATATAATATCATTTTATTTAATTTTTGCAATTTTGAAATTTCGACAAACCTTACCGACGTTATAATTGTGTGTATTTTTATAATTTACAATGCAGATAACAGGCGATTTTAATTGAAATAAATCATGAATTTTTTAAAATAAAATGCATACACGTTCTTTTTTTCCTATAATCTGGCGTGGTTTTTAAGTGCTATTGCTCACACCCACAGTAAGAATATACATAGAGGCTATAAACCATTTTTATTGTTATATTTTTTTCTTTAAATAGTTATTGACAACCCAACGAAGTGAATTGTTTAGTTTTTAAATGTCATGATAAGACTTGTCAGATTTTAAAATTGCAAAAGTAAGAATTATTCGGTTCGGTTCTGTTAAGGGGTTTTAAACTAAAATATTGCATCACAAATTCGTGCTCCGAAGTTATTGGTATTTTAAAATATTTGTTTGCCTTTATTTTATTTTTTTATTTTTTGTTAATAAACTATAAGTTTAAATTTTGAAATTCATTCGTCAATTCGTTTCCGTTTTAAGTTAATATCAGCCGATGTTAAAATATATTTTTTTAGTTATATTTTGATCAAATAACCAAGATAAAAAATCAAATGCAACCGCATAATATATTTAAATAGTTGCGGGCAGTATTGCTTAGTTGATGGTCCTTGATTAGATAATCGGCCTTATTAATGCTTAAAAATGCTTGATTCAAAATTTTTTTGTTACGCAGATTTAAATGTCTTTTGTATATAATTTATCTACTAGGAAATAATAATGTCAAAGAAAAGGGCTGTGTGTCAAATGATTTGTTGCATTCCTTAATGTCATTGTGAGTAATTATTAATTATAATTAAATATACGAAATAAAAAAGATTTTCGTCAAGGCGCAAACAAACGATGGGATAGCAACATCACAGTTTGTCATAAGATCACCGAAACGAATGAAAAAGCAAAATAAACTTAGCCGATTAGCTGCTTTTCCTTGTCTAAATTCACTTAGGATACGTATAAAACAGCGTAATTTAGAACTGAAAATATATTACATTGGAAGTTTTGTAAAGGACAGAAAAACGAATAGTTTAGAAATAATGAATAAAATTATTAGTTAGATTTTTTGCGAGGTCTAGTGTTTAAATGTAACATTTTCCTTAGATTTTCATTAAAATAAATAATATAACACAAATCGAAGTGTAAAAAATATGGAGACTTTAAACTTATTGAACCTTGCTGAATGAAAGAGTAAACCAGACTAACCTCCCTCCTCCATCTCAGTAACGCTTACGCTGATATCTGCCACCACAACTCATATTGATTGCGCGCTTTCTCTCTCTATCTCTCCTCTTCGTAGGCTGCTGCAATGGTAGCGGTTGCACAGGTCCAAGCAGCTCAAGTGCAAGCACAAGTACACGCCCAGGCGCAGGCTCAAGCACAGGCTCAGGTGCAAGCAGCACAAGCGCATGCGCATGCACACGCTGCGGCACAGGTACAAGCGGCGCAAGTTCAGGCACAGGTGGCACAAGCACAAGCACACGCTCAAGCGCAGGTCGCTCAAGCGGTAGCCGCACAACAGCAGCAACAACAAAAACAATTGGAAGATCTCAATCGGGCTGTGATACTGCAGCGTTTACAGGCCACACGTCCAGGACATCCGCAAACGGCACTTGGCGCATCCGCTGGCCCCGCGGTAGGCATGGTAAGTATTAATAAAAGGTTTTTTTTTTTATATATTTTCCACAAATTCGTTAAAAAAAACAACTAAGTAGATGTTTTATTAAAGCCATATACCAACGATATATAACTCCAATTACATACGTGGTCATATATGACGTCATACATGGCTATACAGTCAGCAAGATGCTATAAATATTTTTCAGGCTTCAATGTGTTGGATTTATATTTCAGATGCTCCAATATTACACATGTAAACACCAACAATCAAAAGAACCTAAAGTGCCATAACTCAGTCACTAATTACGCTCCCAAATTCGAATTCGGTACAGGGGTTACTTAAGAGATAGTCACGTGTGGTATAAAATGTGTTTAAAACTGTAATATATTTTTTTTACATGACTCAAAACTATTTTATTTACATTAAGTATACTTAGTAGAAATATTGATTTATAGAATTTTATGATATGAGGTGAAATTCGGCAATAGTCACACACAGCATTTGACGATTATGTTAAAATCTATTGTACAAATAGTGCTACAATAGCATAATGAATAACGTTAAAAATTATTAAATTTAATTATTTATAATCAGGTTATGGTTATATGTAGATAAGCACACTACTTCCCTTAGAAAACTCTTTGGAATTATATGATATTCTAGCTGTTTTGGAGTCAAACTGTATCAGTCAGATGTCCTATGGTACATGCGCTTCTCTCTTTTGTGTAAAAATGCTTAATTCCTCAATAAAAAATCTGTGTACTTATGCAAAATCGGTTAGGAACTTCCCTTTGTCCCTATCTCCTCAGAACGATGATTTTGGCTTTCCGATTGACTTTATACCATATATATTTGTATATCAATATGGGAGGTATCTTAATGAACTGTAATGGACATGCTTTCTGGGCGTGTTTCTCTTATCAGTACCAAAAATTAGCTAAATCAATTTCTACTTTTCGCCAAGCATTACATTAGCTTAGCCGTACTTTTCAATCCAAATTAAGTAATTTATGTATTTAAACAAACATATTTACTAATTTTTATGAATTTGGATAATGCAAATTATCTTTATCTTTAGTTTTCATAAATTTCTATTGGAGGCTTGTTAACAGTCTCATTTAATTTGACCATGTATATCCATCGAAATAATTGAGCAAACATCCTGATAAAACTTCATACATAACTTCTATGTGCACTTATGAACTATGGAACGGCCCAAATACAAAATGTATGTATATTAAAATTTGGATACATCACAGAGCTAATAAGATGGATAAAATGGCAAAAGGAACCTATTTTACTGAGAAAATAATCTATATCTATTGTAAATTTCATATTTTCTCAATTTGACTTGTGCCAACGGGAATCGATAAAAACATTGTGTATCTGACATCAAGTAAAATAAATAACCACGTATAACGGGTTTTAACTAAGAAAAGAGTGTAGCAAGAGTAAGTATTTTTATATTACCAGAATATTTTAACAAAACTCTTCTCTTTGTCGTCGCTTTTAAACCTATAAGCAAGACCTTTATATTAATGTCTATGTTGGTCTGTAAAAATATAAGAAAAGTTGTAACATAGTTACAATCAGAGTGAAAGTCTTTCCACTAAAGATCCTGCTGATGCTTTATGTTTTATAACATATTAGATATTTACAGGAACAAATGGTAGATTCTGTTTCTTTACATGGCTTCTGAAAAGACTTTTTAAAAGGAGCTACTGATTTGATGTATTTAATGCCCAGTTGCTTGGGTACTAATTATACATAATTAATTACACTGAATTACTAAAAACGCCATATGCTATTACCTTCTACTAGAATTATTTGAAAACAGATCTTTAAGATTAATCTATGTCTTTTGACAACAGCCTAAAGCGATGTGTCAGAACACAAGCAGTTTTGAGTGTACAAATAAGCCAACAATCAAAGAAATGTTTGATACATAAATAAGATAAGTAACATAATAAATTCATTAAAAGCAAAAAAAAAAGATAATATCATGTAAGTACAATTTTCACAATATTAGTATACATAAATAAATTGTCGTAATAAATAGTTGCTGAGTTGGTTGGTTAATTGATTGATATGTCTTACAAATATCTCAATGTTATTTTTTCTGTAAATTACAAAAGTGATGGGCCATTTAGTGTATTTTATTTTTATGCAAGAACAACAAATATTGCATTTGCCACAAATTTTATTATAAATAATATAATATGTAAGTGCAAGTGCAAGACTAAATGTATCCACACTTAACTAAATCAAATTTAAAACTCAATATTATGTTTATCAACACACACATACCTACTAAATATTAAAGTGATATCGGTAATATCCAGCTTTTTATACCGTCCCAATTGCTTTCCATTTACCTCATTTTCTTTGCATTTAATCTCACGCTCGTTGCTCAGCATCGTAATCACACATCCACATCTACATACTATATGCATATATCTCATTTCTCTTAATTCTCTTGTAATTATATTAGTCAAAAATACTAAAAAAAAAAAAATTATAAATATAAATGATGTGATATAGTATTTATTAGTAATATCCAAGCGCTGTGGTTAAGAATTTTGTTTAAAACCAACGAAAGTCGATTAACATAATAATTGTATAAAATGCAATATAAATAGGATTATTTAAAATAAATTATAATTAAAATGGCATACTCTTGTTCAAAAAAATTAGTCAATAATTGTGTTTAAAAGAAATTATTATTTTTTATAAAATATGAAAAATAAAGGTTTACAACAAATAGATTTTCAGGGATATACAAATTATTAATTCCTTTGTTGACAACATTCAACAATAATGATAGAATGAAATACTCTGGAAATGTATTCCGAATGCCACTTATTGGGACTCTCTGGGACTCAGGACATTCAATTTACCAAATAAACATTCGATAGAAACTCTGAATATTATAATTAGCAATATTTGATCCATACATCAATTTTGTTTTGGCTTTTTATTAAACGTAACTAAAAATAAAATACAGATATGATAAAAAGTTGCGTAAGAATAGGTTTACACACGGAAACTTGTGTTGCTCCTTATGAAGAAATTTTCTTTTGTTGTTACCCAATGCATCCACACGACAACCCGGGTAGGACAATTTCTGCATTCTCTTTCATATCATAATCTCAAATTCTTGTATGCTTCATTTAAACTACACAAAAATATTTTTCATAGCTGATTTTTGTAATTATTCACTAATTTCTATTATATTTTGCATATTATATGCAAAAATTGGATGATGAGATTAAAATTTCTGAACGTAATGTAAATATTAATTTCCGCGATTGAAACCATGGAAAGAATTTCAAGAGGAATGCTAACAAACTACGAGTGTGGACAACAAGAGTCTTCGGGTGTAAACCCTACCTGATATAATATAATTTTTTTCCAACAAGAGATGCCAAGTAAAAACATATTTATGCTGACCGGTATTTTGCAAAAAATTTTCACAATTTTTAAAGCTAAGTTCGACCAATAGTGATTAATTCAATTCAGATATTCGAAATTATTGCAAATGATTTTCATATAACTAGAAAATTTGTACTTATTAAGCATATATTCCGCAAGAGTAGTATTGTTAAGTTTAGAGAAAGTGAGCACGCGAGAAAGTGAGTAGAAACGGCTAAAGTAAGTACGTTTTTATATTAAACTTCTATTACCATTATATTCATTGTAATGCGAAAGAAAAAACAGTACTTTATATACATTTATATTTTATACGCCACCAATACTCTTTATAATATAAAATTAAATTAATAAATAATATAAATAGCGTTCGATGATTTTTGTGTAACTGAAATGTGTGCGAAGGCGTTGCTTTCGCTCTGTCAAATAACCAATTGAATTTGTTGATGTATTTATTTCTTACCTTTATCTAATTTTTTGATGTCATTCTGCGGTGCCCTGTAGATGCCGTTACCAGGACTTATGCAGCCGATACTACGTCCAGCAATGCCTTTGGGACCCCATACTTCGCTACTGGGTGGTAATATGTTGCGTGCGCCTGGTGGTTTGCCGGGATTACCAGGTTAGTTTATATTTTTAATTAATTTGAAGGTATACATAGTTTATAATATAGATATATAATATTTTCAATGATTTTATGTAGGTTTGTTGCCAGTACAAGCCATTCAGATACCACCGGGGATGCATATGCCCGGTATGGGTGTTATGCTACCGGCAGGTCATCCTGTACTACAAATGATGCCACGGTTTCGGTGATCCGTTGCACAGTATGCACCGTCATCACTTTGCTTGGCAATGGCTCCATTAGGAACGCGGTTGCCGTTATTATATCCACCAGAAGAATAAACACGGAAAAAAGCAATAATGCATTTAGCATCGCCTAAAATAAACTATAAATTTAAAATAACTAAATAATACCAAATGCTATACAAAAATAGACATCATATGGAAACCAATGCAGTGCATATTATAAAAGGAGTTTATATAATGCAAACTTATTACACAGTGAGTTAATGAGCACATTATCAACCAGTAGCGTTAAGAATAAAATCAAACAACTCACGGAGCAAATATGGCATAATATAATTTGGATAACTACAACAACAACAAGAACTGTAACAACAAGCAAGTTCAAATTCCTTTAAACTATTCTTCATATTTACTAGTAAACTCACTTTTAAATTATCACTATTCAAAAGTTATAATCACATAAAGAGTGTAGTTTTAAACAACGTTGTTGTTACAGAAAACAACTTTGTACTTTTCTTAGTTTTTCTATACGGCCTATTTTAACCGAATTCGTATCATCACGTCCAATAAATATGCCAGTACATAAGCACTCATCCACCATCACCAATCCTGCTACGGAAGGAATATGGGGATGAATGAGCACCTATGAAAATTGGTATATTACACAAAAGCACTGTGAAATGCGGTTTGGGTTAATGTGGTGTTTCAATATTGAATGTTTAAAATTATTAACTTTATTTTGTTATTCAGTGAATTCACTTTAGTTTTAATTTCTGTTTTTCAACGCTATATACATATATACGTACTAATTTTCTAAAATCATTTGTTTATTTTTTAGTTATCTGCGAATATTCAATTTAAAGTAAGATAAAATATGTTTAAAGAAAGTAATTTTAAACGAATCAATCAAACGCACGTAATAAAACTAAAAGAAAACGTAAGTTTTTTGCATTGTATATTGTAAGTGATTATTTTGAGTATGAATGTGTTTTATAGCATTATAGGTATAAATGTATTCACTCATATATATATACTAATATTTTACATTTGGATTGTGATGACGCAGGAAACATAAATCCAAGTGTATGTACCATATACTATTAAACGTTTTCATTTATATTTATTACATAGATACTGTCTATACTAATATCCTAGTTTTTATGTTTTACTCTATTTCTACTTTTAATTTTTGTCATAAAAACTAAAGAGTGTATGTTTATATTAATGTAAATGTCAGTCGTAAATATACCATAGAGTAACTTTTTAACATTCATCGCCCTTTTACGTATATACTTTGTATATGAATTTCATTTCCCAGCCTGCGCACAAATTATGTACATACATATATTATCATTTTTCACGAATATGCTTCGGAATATACGAGATTACCAATCCTATGTTTTTGTGCTTTTCATTAAAAGCCTATTATATATTCCTATAAATATATATACATACATCCGTATAAATAACCATTGCAAATAGAAGTTATATCATGTAATTAACTTTTGGAAATCAGTTTTTGTTTGAATTTTCCCTCTCAGTTTTATTTCAAATACTTTTTGAATTTTATGTTAGCATTCTAATTTTTTTATTTGACAAGGTATCGTCACGAAATTTGATAGATTATTATCAGAAGCAACGCTGCAATCCCGGAATAATTTTTTTAACGGGAATTTTAAAATTAAAATTCAGTCGAATTAAAAAAATCATTATGTTGATATGTTGTACATGCCCTTTGAAGTACGATGTAATTTCCTGTTGTATTAATTGCTTACTTTGTCTGTGGTAGCCGCTAAGGTTAGATGTGTTTTTATAAGCTTGGCGATTTTCGCTCTGTGTGACTTTTTCCTTTTTCCAAAATTAAAGCAACCCTTAAAGGTCCGTCGTTTTACAAGAATAGATGACATTTGAAACGCATCGATGAATGAGCCTAAAGCTAGCGCAAAAGTCGATTTTCAAAAGTGTTTCGACGATTGAAAGAAGTGCTGGTTAAGTGCATAATATCGAATGGGGACTATTTTGAATGCCACAACATTAATGTAAACAAATAATAAATACATCTCGTATAGATTCGGTGCAACCGAAGTTAACTGTTTTTTCTTCTTGTTTTTATACTTTAACTTCCAAAAATGTGCTGAACATTAACATTATAGCGGCATCTTTGTATTCCATTATCTTCAAACATTTTAATTTCGTCGCAAACAAAACTTTAACCTACTTCGATTACGTGTGCACAAAGATGAACTTGTTTGAAATAAAGTTTCACACAAAAGTGTGAGTTTTCAATTTTTAAATTAATGAATTATGAATTCGTACACAAAAACAAGGTTTTTACTTTAAATTTTATTTAAGTTATTAAGTAGTAGTGCGCGTACAAATGTCACGATATGTCACTTTTCTTTAACAAATTTTCACTTTGAAATTATTTCATATTGAATTCATTTCGTTTCTTATTTCCCTTTCTATTTTGTTTTATTACTACCTATTCTCTTTTTCTTTTTTAAGATCATGTTAATTTTTTAACAGGTTGAAGTCTGCGTTTGATTTTTAAATTATTTTCGGTAATCAACAGACTAATTTCCATTAACCAACAAACAATTGTCAAAATAAAATAGAAATAGAATGAAAAAAAATAAAAAAAATAAAAAATACAAAGAATGTAGCTGTAGCATGGAAATTCTGAGTAAGCAATCACTTCATGTTTTTTATTATAATTTTATTTCTTAGTAATATTTGTTGATACCTATTATTGATAAAAGCACGTAAATATTAGTACTTAAAGCATAGCATAGCTAGTTTTATAAAGCATATGGGAATAAATCTACATATATGTTTTTATACTCTCGCAACCTGTTGCTACAGAGTATAATAGTTTTGTTCACCTAACGGTTGTTTGTATCACCTAAAACTAATCGAGTTAGATATAGGGTTATATATATATAAATGATCAGGATGAAGCGACGAGTTGAAATCCGGGTGACTGTCTGTCCATCCGTCCGTCCGTGCAAGCTCTAACTTGAGTAAAAAGTTAGATATCTTCATGAAACTTGGTAGACATGTTTCTTGGTACCGTGAGACGGTTGGTATTGCAGGTAGGCGTAATCGGACCACTGCCACGCTTTAGCCATTATTCAAAAACAAATAAATTGCCATAACAAGACTCTTATTTGGTATACAGGATCACAATAGTGAGGGGCATCTGTAGTTAAGTGGGCGTGATCCCGCCCCTAATAGGTTTAATGTGCATATCTCCTAAACCGCTAATGCTATAATAACAAAATTCACTGGAAGCAAATGTTTTTAGTGTGAAAATAGTTGAAATCGGGTGGCAACTCCGCCCACTCCCCATATAACGGTACTGTTAAAGACTACTAAAAGCGCGATAAATCAAGCACTAAACACGCCAGATACATTAAATTTTATCTCTGAGATGGTATGAGATGACTTTATAGCAACCGCGTTCAAATTAGACAGTGGGCGTGGCACCGCCCACTTTTAGGTGAAAACCCATATCTTGAGATCTGCTTAACCGATTTCAACCAAATTAGGTGCATAACGTTCTTTTCATATTTCTATGTCATAGTGCGAAAATGGGTGAAATCGGACTACAACCATGCCTATTTCCCATATAACACCATTTTCAATTCCATCTGATTCTGTCACTTTCCACTATGCATATCAAGCAAAAATGATTGTATCGGGGTAAAACTTTGCGTGAATAATGGGTTTGAAGTATACCACCTTGTGACCAAAAATTGTCTAAATCGAGTCAAAAGTGTTCAAGCCCCTAGGTAATGAATATGTGGACCCCAGTGCCTATAGCTCACTTTTTACCGAAAATATCGGTCAACATAGAACAAGGCGGCAAGATCCACAAAGAAATCTAAAACGAGTATACCATTTGACTTTGCGAGAGTATAAATTGTTCGGTTACATCCGAACTTAGCCCTTCCTTACATGTTATAATTAAAATTATACCACAAGAAATTTAACATACATACATATTCACATCTGACACATTATAAATAAAACGTTGTCACGGTTATACCTTTATTTACCCTTAAGTTTTTTCTGTGATAGCCGACGCCACTATGTGGGTATGCTGACACATTTTCTGTAACCTCCATTAGTTGACTCACATAATATGAATGAGCGGCTTTCAATTTACACGGCAACTGTGACGTTAAAATACATACTAAATACGTAACTTGATGTTTTGTATTAAAAACGTGCACCTACCTACATTGTTTGCGTAATTTGAATTTAAAATTCGATAATTTTTTTATATATTCACATAAAAATCGGTATTTCATTTTAATGTTTACAAGGAAATCTCCAAAGTTTTTCACTCTGCATTCTTATATACTACAATAGTTTATTAATATCCAATTCCTAAATATCGATTCCACTAAGATCAGTGAGTTCACTTTATTTTATAATATGTACCAATAATACCAACAAGTAACCGGACAAGCATATATTAAACGTAAAATATACTATAATACCTTATGTACAAAAAGAGATTTTGGGCTGGAAATTATTGACAGAAACTGGACCTGGGTATTTTTTTGGCTATGTAGACCCACCAACAATGTAATCTTTAATATTAATTTTGATTTTTTACTGCACGGCTAATAACTTTGTGATTATGGTTCTCTAAAATTATACTGATTAACATCCATATGTATTTGATATTTACAGGGTTCTTGTCTTAATTGTAACCAGTCTGTAAAATATTTTTAGTTTTGTTTGCTTCTATATTTTTAGGTTTTCAAAATCAG